ATTTGTTTCATACTGAGCCTCTCAAATGACGTACACACAAAAATATATTTAGCGTGGCCACAAATTAAGAATCTGTTCCCACTACTTATTAATTAGTTCACTCGTTTTAGTATTTCATGTCAACGTTGCACTAATTTGTTCCCTCATTTAAGTAAATCGTAGCAACCTAATACTAGTTTGTTACCTTGTTTTAGTTAAAATGTGTCCACGCTGTATTAATAAGTTCCCTTGTATTAGTAAATCGTGTCCACGCTGTGTTAATTCGTTCCCTAGTTTTAGTAAATTGTGGCCACATAATACTAATTAGTTGCATTGTTTTAGTAAATCTCAGCCACGTTGTACTATCTAGTTCCCTCGTTTTAGTAAATCATATTCACATAGTACTAATTTGTTCCCTCATTTCAGTAAATCGTGTCCACATTGTATTAATTCATTCCCTCGTTGTAGTAAATCGTGTCCACGCCGTATTCATTCGTTCCCTCGTTGTAGTAAATCGTGTCCACGCTGTATTAATTTGTTCCCTCGTTGTAGTAAATCGTGTCCACGCTGTATTAATTTGTTCCCTCGTTGTAGTAAATCGTGTCCACGCTGTATTAATTTGTTCCCTCGTTGTAGTAAATCGTGTCCACGCTGTATTAATTTGTTCCCTCGTTGTAGTAAATCGTGTCCACGCTGTATTAATTTGTTCCCTCGTTGTAGTAAATCGTGTCCACGCTGTATTAATTTGTTCCCTCGTTGTAGTAAATCGTGTCCACGCTGTATTAATTTGTTCCCTCGTTGTAGTAAATCGTGTCCACGCTGTATTAATTTGTTCCCTCGTTGTAGTAAATCGTGTCCACGCTGTATTAATTTGTTCCCTCGTTGTAGTAAATCGTGTCCACGCTGTATTAATTTGTTCCCTCGTTGTAGTAAATCGTGTCCACGCTGTATTAATTTGTTCCCTCGTTGTAGTAAATCGTGTCCACGCTGTATTAATTTGTTCCCTCGTTGTAGTAAATCGTGTCCACGCTGTATTAATTTGTTCCCTCGTTGTAGTAAATCGTGTCCACGCTGTATTAATTTGTTCCCTCGTTGTAGTAAATCGTGTCCACGCTGTATTAATTTGTTCCCTCGTTGTAGTAAATCGTGTCCACGCTGTATTAATTTGTTCCCTCGTTGTAGTAAATCGTGTCCACGCTGTATTAATTTGTTCCCTCGTTGTAGTAAATCGTGTCCACGCTGTATTAATTTGTTCCCTCGTTGTAGTAAATCGTGTCCACGCTGTATTAATTTGTTCCCTCGTTGTAGTAAATCGTGTCCACGCTGTATTAATTTGTTCCCTCGTTGTAGTAAATCGTGTCCACGCTGTATTAATTTGTTCCCTCGTTGTAGTAAATCGTGTCCACGCTGTATTAATTTGTTCCCTCGTTGTAGTAAATCGTGTCCACGCTGTATTAATTTGTTCCCTCGTTGTAGTAAATCGTGTCCACGCTGTATTAATTTGTTCCCTCGTTGTAGTAAATCGTGTCCACGCTGTATTAATTTGTTCCCTCGTTGTAGTAAATCGTGTCCACGCTGTATTAATTTGTTCCCTCGTTGTAGTAAATCGTGTCCACGCTGTATTAATTTGTTCCCTCGTTGTAGTAAATCGTGTCCACGCTGTATTAATTTGTTCCCTCGTTGTAGTAAATCGTGTCCACGCTGTATTAATTTGTTCCCTCGTTGTAGTAAATCGTGTCCACGCTGTATTAATTTGTTCCCTCGTTGTAGTAAATCGTGTCCACGCTGTATTAATTTGTTCCCTCGTTGTAGTAAATCGTGTCCACGCTGTATTAATTTGTTCCCTCGTTGTAGTAAATCGTGTCCACGCTGTATTAATTTGTTCCCTCGTTGTAGTAAATCGTGTCCACGCTGTATTAATTTGTTCCCTCGTTGTAGTAAATCGTGTCCACGCTGTATTAATTTGTTCCCTCGTTGTAGTAAATCGTGTCCACGCTGTATTAATTTGTTCCCTCGTTGTAGTAAATCGTGTCCACGCTGTATTAATTTGTTCCCTCGTTGTAGTAAATCGTGTCCACGCTGTATTAATTTGTTCCCTCGTTGTAGTAAATCGTGTCCACGCTGTATTAATTTGTTCCCTCGTTGTAGTAAATCGTGTCCACGCTGTATTAATTTGTTCCCTCGTTGTAGTAAATCGTGTCCACGCTGTATTAATTTGTTCCCTCGTTGTAGTAAATCGTGTCCACGCTGTATTAATTTGTTCCCTCGTTGTAGTAAATCGTGTCCACGCTGTATTAATTTGTTCCCTCGTTGTAGTAAATCGTGTCCACGCTGTATTAATTTGTTCCCTCGTTGTAGTAAATCGTGTCCACGCTGTATTAATTTGTTCCCTCGTTGTAGTAAATCGTGTCCACGCTGTATTAATTTGTTCCCTCGTTGTAGTAAATCGTGTCCACGCTGTATTAATTTGTTCCCTCGTTGTAGTAAATCGTGTCCACGCTGTATTAATTTGTTCCCTCGTTGTAGTAAATCGTGTCCACGCTGTATTAATTTGTTCCCTCGTTGTAGTAAATCGTGTCCACGCTGTATTCATTCGTTCCCTCGTTGTAGTAAATCGTGTCCACTCTTTATTAATTTGTTCCCTCGTTGTAGTAAATCGTGTCCACGCTGTATTCATTCGTTCCCTCGTTTTAGTAACTCGTGTCCACGCTGTATTCATTCGTTCCCTCGTTGTAGTAAATCGTGTCCACGCTGTATTCATTCGTTACCTCGTTGTAGTAAATCGTGTCCACGCTGTATTCATTCGTTCCCTCGTTGTAGTAACTCGTGTCCACGCTGTATTCATTCGTTCCCTCGTTGTAGTAAATCGTGTCCACGCTGTATTCATTCGTTCCCTCGTTGTAGTAAATCGTGTCCACGCTGTATTCATTCGTTCCCTCGTTGTAGTAAATCGTGTCCACGCTGTACTAATTGGTTCCCTCGTTGTAGTAAATCGTGTCCACGCTGTATTAATTCGTTCCCTCGTTGCAGTAACTCGTGTCCACACTGTACTAATTTTTTCCCTCATTTTAGTAAATCATGTCCACCTGGTATTAATTCGTTACCTCCTTTTAGTACATCGTAGCAACATAGTACTAATTCGTTCCCTGGTTTTAGTAAATCGTAGCCACATTGGACGAATTAGTTCCCTCGCTTTAATAAATCATCAACACATAGTACTAATTCGTTCCTTCATTTTAGTAAATTGTGTCCACACTGTATTAATTTGTTCCCTCATTTTAGTAAATCATGTCCACATAGTACTATTTCATTCTCTCGTTTTAGTCAATTGTGTCCACATTGTACTAATTCATTCCATCATTTAAGTAAATGAAAAATGTATGAATGGTTTGTACAATAAACACTTGTGTGTCGTACTTTCAGCACACTTTGACTGAAAAACGCAAACTGCTGATTCGCCAGCACGAAGACGCCAAAGAGCTGAAGGAGAACTTGGACCGAAGGGAACGTCTGGTTTATGAGATTCTGGCCAGTCACCTCAGCGAAGAGCGTCTCGCAGACTACCGGCACTTCGTCAAAATGAAGTCAGCGCTCATCATTGAGCAGCGTAAACTGGAGGATAAGATCAAACTGGGTGAAGAGCAGCTCAAATGTCTGAAGGACAGTCTGCCGCTGGACCAGAGAGTGCTGTACTGAACCATACTGAACTCTGGACTGGTCTAAACTGGACTGGACTATGTTAAGTTCAGCCTGGACTCTCAGACTCTTGTTGGAAACTAGACTCTAAGCAGAAGTATTTCATATCTGCTTGTGTGCATTGGACAGAAGCGGACAGTAGTGAAGTATTTTTACTCTGCTTTAAAAGTACTTTTCAATTGTCTGTTTTTCTTTAGAAAACTTTACTTCACAACATTCCAAACCATAATATTGTACTTTTTACTGCCCTACATTTCATATTAAATATCATTTAGTACTTAATTACATTAGAAATCTAGTACTTTCTTACTTTTACTCAAGTAAAAGTAATTCAAAGATTTACTTGAGTACAAGAAAGTACTACATTTTTAGTGTTCTTAACTATTAAAGGTAAAAAAAACAACTTTTATTTATGAAACGTAGTGCAGTAAAAAGTATGACATTATGCTTTGGAGTGTAGTGAAGTAAAAGTTTTCACTTTGATTAAGTGCAGATACTTTGAGTAAAGTAAAAATAATTCACTACTGTCCACCTCGGATAGATTTATTACTATCAACACAAAATCATTCTTATATCAGTTCTGCGCTTTTCATTGATTCCAGTGTTCTTTAATGTAGCATTTTAGTGAATTCATGCTTTGAATCCGCTTGTTTTGAATGTGCTGTAAAAAAAATCTCCTGTTTTTTTTTATAGGATCTTATAAAGTTTTTTTCTACCTGTATATTGTACACATTTCATTTATTTTGCAGCTGAAAGCTAATGGTGCTATTAACTGAAAGGATAGATCTGCTTATTCTTGACTAGATCCACATTGAAAGCTGTTTTACTCATTTTCATGTATGTTTTAAACTTTCCTGTTGTTTGTTTTTAACCTCATTAAATATCAATCATTAATAGGAAGGGAAGTTCGGAATATCTCTACTCGTATCTAAAATATGAACCTGTGAACCAGAAAAATAATTTGCGATATACTGTTCATAAACACGCTTGCAGTGCATTTCTGCTGCAATAAATTGGAATAAAAATAAAAATATGTATTACAACTTTTGTTGTAGCTCTTCATAGTTATGCATCCGAATCCAGTTAATTCATCTGTGTGATACCACACTTGCTCCAAGGGAATGATTCATAAATATTTGCTGTAAACAAGAATAAAATTAAGTTATTTAATGACTCGTTCTGGAGCCTCACCCACCCTCATGGTTTTATGATCTTTATGAGTCCCTGTGTTTTCCAATATAACACGAATGATCTCAGACTCCTCATTGTTTGATTTTATGATGTTGACCGTGATCATGAGCCATGGTCAATCATTCACAGAAACATATTCACCAGCTTATTTGCCCAGGATTTCTGAGCAGCAAGAAGTTGAGTTTCAGACGTCTGGAAGTTTCCAGTCCAACGCCGAGCGCTGAAGACGAAGGAAATGCTGAGAGAAGATTCACTTGCACATGAAGAGAAACTCACGGATCAGTGGACTGGGTGCTGATATGGTAATATGATCATTTTATACTTTTAGTTATAATTTATTTGTAACTTTAATAAGATTTGATGCATATTTGATGCATGGAAATACTATTTTAAGATGTCCATAAAGAGCTTGAAAATAAGGAATGACTATGTTTGAAAGTTAGTTTTATATAAAGTCAGTTTTCATTTCATTGAATTGTAAATGTAAAATAGCGAAGTATCACATGTCTCATTGTAATATATGACAGAAAACAGTCTGTTATGTGATGGGAATATGCAAATAAGGGGCTTATGCTTATGTAAAGTAATCATATTCATATGTATATTTACACTACCATTCAGTTTGGAAGTAAATTCGTGCTTTTATTCATCAAGGACACATTTAATTGATCAAAAGTGACATTTATAATGTTACAAAAGATGTTTCAAATCAGCATATTATACTGATTTCTGAAGATCATGTGACACTGAAGACTGGAGTAATGATGCTGAAAATACAGCTGCGCATCACAGAAATACATTACAGTTTAACACATATTCACATGGAAAACGGTTATTTTAAATTGTAGTAATATTTCACAATATTACTGTTTTCTTTTCTTTTCTTAAATGAAATAAATGCTGCCTTAGTGAGCAAAAGAGACTTCTTTCATCAACGTTGAAATAAATCTTACCGACCACAAACTTTTAAACTTTTGAATATATGTATATACAGTATATAGAAAGAGAGAGAATTCAACATTTACTAATTAAGGGTGTCAATGGAAACATAAAAAATAAGAAAGGCCAAAAATCAAGGTGCTGTGAGCCAAAAGTAAATGTTGCTATATTATATGTGTAAAAATATTTTTAAAATCAGATTCGCTTATATTGTTTTTTTGTTTTGTTTAGTTTTTTCAATGAAAAAAAAAAAGTTACAACAAAATATAAATGAGAAATGAAGATAGGCCTACGCTTTAATACCATATCCCCCCCCCCCTCTTTTTATGATATGGTAAGGCGGGCCAACTCAAAGGTCATCCAGGGCCAAATTTGGCCTGCGGGCCCTGGTTTGGGCATCACCGATTTAAAGGAACTGACAAAACTTTTCGACAATAAATTAGGTGAAAAATGTAATAGTAACATTGACCTAAATTGTGACACCACCTGCTTTCTTTATTCATCTGTGTACATTTGAATCTAATTTAATTATTCATCATTCTTAAAAAGGGTGATGGACCTGTTATTTGTCAACCGCTGTAGTCTCTATGATATTTCGGCACAAACGTTCATGGTAACCGTGCATGACCTTTAGGTGAGGTATTACATTTCTGTTTGGTTTCTGAAACATAAGCAACAGGAAGTTGGTGATCTAAATTGAATCTGTGTTTCTCTTTCTCTCAGAGGGATGTCTGCGAGCTCTGTTTGCCAGGTTTCTTGGAGACGGCATTGGTTAGTTAAACCCACAACAAGCAATTAACTCCATACAGACCTGCAGTCACGTTCAGCCGCTTCAGAGAGACGATCGAGACTCTTCACGATGGATGTTTTCCAGGAGGAACCCGCGGTTTGAGACCGGATGTCATGCCTTACCTCGTCCACACGGCGCATGCGCAGTTCGCGGCGCTCTGGTTTGGGACGGTCGGCTGGACGCTTGTTATCGTAACCATCGGGCTGGTGGAGTGGAGGGTTTGGGAAGTGTCCGATCTGTCGGTCATCACCTCTGGATTGGCTTGGGTTGGTATTTGGAGAGTGTGTTTTTATAGCCACGCTCCGATTTTATCTGACAATCAGATCATGTTCTGTCAGCGGATTCGTTTGTCGGAGTCGTTCACGCCACCGGAAATCGTCGCGGCGCAGGTGCTGATGCTCGTGGCTCTGACTCTCGGATTGGCGGGAAACGCCAGCGTAGTTTACGGCCTCAGGAACGTTTACTTTGGATTAAACAAATCCAAACCCATCAGATTAGCTTTTTCTTCTGGTGGGGTTTTGCTTATTCTTACTGGTGCTTCTGCGCTGGTTCCAGTGTGCTGGAATCTCAATTCCGTTGTAAACAATCAGACTATATCGTTCCCGGCGGAGTTTCGCATGCCATCCGCTCCGGTGAACCAGTCCATCGGACCCGGTATCATCGTGGGGATTTTTGCATCCATCCTGCTGGTTTTTAGCGGGATGGTCTTTCTGTCCTACAGGGCCCCGGTCGTGCTGGAGCCCAAAGTGAGGCCATCCAGGCCCGGAGACTGTGCAGTGGGAACCCATGTGAACCATCAGGGAATTGACAATCCAGCTTTCCAAAGCTGAGATGTGTGAGACTGCTTTCAGGACGGATGTTTTTAAATATTAATTTGTTTTGTTTTATAATAATATTTTTAAATTCCTCTTGTGTTCTGAATAGCAGTACATTTAAAATATTTGTTGTGGAGTGAGGGGAGCTAAAATAAATTGTTTATAATGTTTGTAAATGTTTTGTGACTTATGCAGATGCAACTTATCTGTGTTTTATTTCTCTCAAAATGGCAATTTTCAGTCGGTGTGACTTAAGGCAGAAATATAGTCTACTGCTGCTCGGTGAAATTTCGTGAAGTTGTAGCACATTTCAAATGATAAAATACGTAATTCCGGAAAACACGGTATACACACTGTAAAAAAAACTTGAAATTCAACTTGATTTTTAAAGTTGGATTAATATAATTTAGGCTGAAATGACTATACAACCAAGTTGATTATGCTTAAAGAACGTCAGCAAACGGAACCTAAGTTTTTAATTAAAAATAGGTGGATTTTTAAAAAAACATATATTTCACCTGTTTACATTCTAATTGCATTGTATTAAAAACTGTCTTGCTTTTTAGCTTATTTGCCATTGTTTTTGTGTTTTTATATTTAATCTCTATAGGGTTTTTGTTGTTGTTGTGTAGAGGGTCTGTCATTATTCACAGCACTGTTGCTGTATACTGTTATATGAAACATGTTATATGAAGCACTGATTTTGTATAATATTTGAATTTCATAGTTATTATAAAAATATACCTTAGATATCTATTCATGCATTTGGAAGACACTTTGATCCAAAGCGACTTTGCATTTAAATAATACATTTTGATAAGTTCATGCCTTCACTGGAAATTAAACCAGTTACCTCGGCGTTGCTAGCAGCATTCTCTCTTTGAGCTATATTAATATTTATATTTAAAATTGCATACTTGATGTTATTGAGCATGTGTTGTGAGGTAGTAAAAAGTAAGCTTTTCTGTACTTGTACTGACAAAAAAACCTGAGGAGTGTGAGATCAGTCTGTTATCTGATTATAAACCCAAAGTCAGGAGCAGAACTGACTGTAGGATTACTGTAAGAAGAATAGAAAGGCTTGGACAGGGAATTATGAGTCAGACTGTAATCCTGATGATTAGGTCAATAGAATTGTTGTGTAAGAAGCTTCAAATGGATATAAGCTGAGAGACCAGATTCATTTTTTTCCATCAAGGTTTTATGCACTAAACGTTTGTACTTCATTAGTGATAAGCAAGTACACACTATTGATAGTATGCTACTCTGCACTACAATGAGATTAAATTGAGTTTAGTGCCACAGGCCTCCATTTACAGTACTGATCAAAAATGTGGAATAATTAAGATTTTTAAAATGCTTTTGAAAAAGCCTCTTCTGCTCACCAAGGCTGCATCTGATCAAAAATACAGTAAAAACAGTCATACTCTGATTGCAATATATATTAAACTGTAACGTATTTCTGTGATGTGCAGCTGTATTTTCAGCATCATTCCTCCAGTCTTCAGTGTCACATGATCTTCAGAAATCAGTATAATATGCTGATCTGCTGCTCAAGTGTAGTCAATTATTACTAATTATTATTAATAACGTTTCTTATTATTTTCAGTGTTGAAAATAGTTCTTGCTGCTTTATATTTTTCTTTTTCCCCCCAGGATTCTTACATGAATAGAAGGTTCAATGAACAGCATTTATTTGAAATAGAAACTTTTTGTAACATTATAAATGTCTTTACTGTCACTTTGGATCCATTTAATGCGTCAATGATAAATCACAGTATTAATTTCTGGTTTCCCCAAATATATTGGGCAGCACAACTGTTTTCAGCATTGATGATAATCAGAAATGTTTCTTGAGCAGCAAAAATTCAGCTCTGATCACAACAATCAATTACATTTTGCTCTATATTGCAATTAAAAACACTTCATTTAAATTGTATAGCCTAATATTTCACAATTAAATTCTCCCTTGGTGAACAGAATAGACTTCTTTCAGAAACATTTAAAAAAATCTTACCAACTCCAAAATTTGTGTAGTGTAGGTATAGTGTAGCTATTCATAACCTCACACTTCATTCTTTGAAAAAGGGAAATTTTAGCCCATAAAACCGCACAGATGCACACTATGAAATGTTTAAGTACTATGAAATGGGATGCTGTAATTGTGCTTTCACATACTCATCACCTATTTGGGAAGGATAGCATGCAAATTGGCAACCCAAGACCTTAATTAGCTCATTTATGATCTCTTAAGCATCCTTGAGTAGGAAAGAGGGGTGCTGGAAGCTGAACTTGCGTCACTGAGGCTCTGGCTTCGGTCCATGGCTGTAGGTGTGGATCTCTCATCTCGACCCTCTGGAGACCCGGCTCATGTGAACCGGAGCAGAGGATGGCAGTGGCAGGGCACGTGAAACGCTCTCCAGAAGATCACTGCACTAATTGTTAGGTTGGAAGTGCAGTCTGTGCCAAAGCAGTTCTCTCTGAGCTCCACATTGTGCCAAGACCGACAGCAGCAGAACAAAAGGCCTCTCTTACGCGCTGAAGCAGCACCAAATACAAGCTCAGTAAACACAGATTCCTGCTCAGTGTGGAAGATTGTTTCCATAATGGGATAAAAAAAAAATAATAATTTTGTTGCAATTTTGAGTTTACATCTCACAATATAGTTTCTCTTACACAGTCAATTGCAAATGTATATCTCACAATTTTGACTTTTTCCTTAGTTTATAGCTCACAATTCTGATTTTTGTTTCCAGAAAAAAAAAAAAATTGTAATTACACATTTTTATCTCTGTTCTATGTACTATGTACTTTACTGAACTGTTCTTTGTTCTGTACTTTTATTTTATTTTTAATTTTGCAAATGCAAGCTTATTTGTCAAAATGTACACTTTTGTTTCTCAGAATTGAGAGTTTATATCTTGCAATTCTGAGGGAAAAAAAGTTGTGAGTTGTGAGATATAAACTTGGAATTTGCTATTTTTCTTAATTTTATTTTTTATTCCATGGCACAAACATGCTTCCATTCAGAAATTAAATAAACCTGATTTAAGCAGGTTAATATATTTAGCATCAATCAAATTTGTTTCAGTTTCATGCATTTGAACTTACTGAATATTGCTTGTTCCACAGATAGACATGTTCATACTTTTTAACTTAATAAATGTAATTGTTTTCAATTACAGAACAGAACAGATTTGTACTGCTTCGAAGCCATTTAAAGAAATGCATTTAGATAATTTGATAATTTAATTAGTTAAATAGATGCATATACTTATAATAAACTATATACCGTGATTTTTTTAGGTCTGAAATCTGATCCGTTTAATTTCTGCATAACTAACAAATATGCATCACATTAAGTTTATTAGTTTATGTTGAAACTGTCTAATCCAAATTTAACATGCAATTCAAATACATAAATCTCAAACTAATGCCTAAATGTTTTTAGCAATAGGAATTCTTTAATGTGACTGAAGAAAATCATACGTTGAGGGATGCATTTCATCCATATGGCTGATTATCATAAAGGAAGTGGGCTGGAAGTCTTCTGCACGATGTGCTCCTGATAGTGAACAAACCTTTGTATGTAAAGATGGGAAGATTAGCATGCAAAGTTATAATGAGTCCATTGTGGAAAGCCAACAATGAGAACTTTGATTTGACAGCATGAACCCGGGCCGATAGACACGGACACTCAGCGGTTAAAACACTTCAGACGAGAAGCTGAAGGGATTTAGAAAGATGATCAAAGACACATTCCCCATGAAGAACATTGTGCTGTTACAGGCTCCAATCCATCAGGACACTTCAGAGATCACACACTCTGGATTTCTCTTCTACAATAACTGTCTAATGTAATGCAATTTTGTTTCAATGAAGATAACTGAAGGTCCATCACTTTCACCAAAGAACGTGGATTAATAACTGTTTCTTTCAAGATATAGGGCCTATTGCAAATTGAAAGTAAAACTAACTGGCACATCCAACCAGTGTTTGAATAGATGAATGTGAGATGAAATTACTGCATATTTTCCACCTGCTTGTCTCTGTAAATCAGGACTTAAAACCGTTTCAGCTCTTGCTTTTCAGAACCACAACTCATAATATGTGATATTTTTGATCTTGAAATATACAGTTATAGGGAGTTCAAAAGTCTTAGAGGAACACATTGAAAATCTGTTTAAACTTGGGAATAAAGTTTTTAGAGTTTGAAAGGAACAAACAAAATATCATTATGTAAAATGAAAAATGTTTTCCTTCAAATTTCATGTAGTACAAATGAAATCTGTACTACATGAAAAAATCTGATTAAAAGAGAAAAATGCAAAATAAATAAATACTGCAAAACAGCATTTTCACAAGTGATCTCATATCTTAAGCATTTTTTAAATGGCCTTAATTTGTGATCATCACACTCATAGATGTGTCTTAAAACTAAGAAATAAAGCAAACTGCACAAACAAATGAAAATGAAAAGTTATTTTAGTGAAAACTGTTTTTTCCCCGACATTTAGTTTTTTGCTTATCAGCAGCACAGTTCAGAATATTAGTTATTATTATTATTTTTGTTTATTTACTTTTTTAAAAAGATAATAATATAAGCAAGGGAGTCTGAGAGGAACACATACAAATTATATTTAAAGTTGCAAATATTCACTTTCAAAAAAATCATTATGATGCAAAATGAAGGTGAAAGATTCTCCACTGTTTCTAAGTCACTAATCAAATATAAACAGATTTATTATAATACATTAATAAAATTGCATTAAAGAAATTCAATGCAAAAAGCATTTTCTCAGACCTTTGAACACCACTAAATCGATTTAAGCATTTTAAAATAGTCTTTCTTAATTTATGAGCCTCACAAGTGATATTTTCATAAATATGCATGCTACAACATACTTGTGTGAAAACTCACATTTGTTGACATTTCGTGAGCACAAAAATAAAAAATGCAGAGACAAACATGCAGCTGATTTATTGACTGATCATCAACTTTGGTACTTTGACAT